GCAGGTGGTGGGCAAATAAGAATATGAATACAGCTAGGGAAAGAAAGAAGAAAATTCATTAAAGAGAAACATGCTGAGCACACTGACCGTGTAAAGGAGAAAACCAAACCGATGCCGTTATTCAGAACTGCACACTACAATACCAGTGTGTATTTAAGAGCTTCTGAAAAGTTAATACTCCTTCTAAAATACTGACTAAATGGTAGATGATTTTTCACAAAGATTGTTTTGCAGCTAAGGGTCACATTCCTCACCTCAAAATCTATACTCAGTTCTGGATGGGACTCAATGAGAATTGATCCGGAATGCTGAAATTGTGAGCCAAGCCAGGGACATCACTAACACAGGAGAGCAAGTCTCCTACCCAGCTAACAGCTCCCACTAAATCCCTTCTGGGCTCTCCAGTTTTAAAGACATACAGGAAACATTATTAAACTATGCTGCAGGGGGGGCTGGCAGCCACTTCTGTAGCAAGGATGCTGAAGACATTTGATTTGCAGGAGGTTCATGTAAACTCAAGGACTTCGAATAGCAGGTAGTATCACGGACACCAAACTGCACCGGGACCCAGCTGGCTGTAGTTAAATACCATTCCTCCCAAGCAGCACCTCCTCGCCACTGACCAGGAGTTGGACTCACACTGGAAACACTGTTGGCCTGTGGGCTGCTGACTTCTGAGCTGAAGTGCACGCCCCCCAGCACCACAGGGAAGAGAAAGGCCCTCCGTCTTCATCTCCTTGCTATTCCATAAAGCCTATCGGTGGGAAGAGTGGCAACAGCCCAACTGTCCAGGCGTTTAGAAGAGTTTAAGAAGTTAAAGGTCTCTGCTGTCCCCTGGGATTAGAGAAGATATGTCGGAAAATTGGATAGGCAAAATTATCAGTGGAATGGGATTGAGTCTGAGTTCATGAATAAAGTCACCAATTGAAACTTTACTCACTTTGACACTGGTGTTCATAGTGCTTGGTTTAACTTATCATTGTTTAAAACGAGAACTAACCCGGAAAACAGAGTTTAATCAAATGATTATACAAGCAGAAGCAAGACAACGAGATAAGTCATTGAAAGATCCACCATCATATGACAATTTGGTATTCAATGAGACTACAATTTGAGTATGTGAAAGTATTGAGTATGATTATCAATACTTTCAAAGGGGGGAAATGTTGCAAATACCTTAATAAAACAGAATATTCTTTTGATTTTAGTTTAAAAGTATGATTTTGATTTAACATGAAGCTACAGTAGTTATGAGAATATAAAGTACACTAAGGCCCTTAGGAGTAAGCAACTAGTATGCTGTGTGCCTTGAACACTATAAGAATTGTTATGGACTCTGAATTAACACAATAGCTACTGGTTATGGATCCTGACTTGAAACAATAGGTATCAGAAGAAACTGGTTTGGTTGGGAAGATCGGCCAAGGGAAAGGTGAGCATTAGCCAAAGATGGAGTGAGCATGTGCAAGGATGGAGTTCAATCAGCCGACACAGTGAGGAAGACTATCGACGAGCACCAGAGGACCCCCGTCCAGTATAACCACGCATGCGTTAGGGACATTGGCATATGATAATAATTCCCAGGAAATAACATGAATATGCTAATCATTGCCCTCCCCCCATTCTATTGAAACCAATGAGTAAAGATGACCAATGATTTCTGTAGAATAGGAAGAGAGGTAAGGTGAGGTAACTGAAAGCCAATCATTATAAAGGTCAACTTAAGCTTTATGAATTTTGTTGATCCTATGTAACTACGACTCTGCTGAAAAAGTGTATAAATATGTGGTGCTTTGTACCTGTCGATGAACACGTCTTTGGCGGAGTTATCCCCCGTGTTCCCCAGTGCTGGAATAAAGAAGTGCCAGCTTATCTGCTTTGGGTAGGTAAGTTCTATTCGCGATTGCGACCGCTAACAGTATTCTGACTCACATTCTATCAGTAACCCATACTTCAGAAATTTATTAATTGGACCCTCCATTCCTTTGCGGTCCTTTAGTCTCAAAGGCTACTGCCTCCTCTGTACTGGTCCCTTTCCTTCTTTAAGTTTTATTACTATAGGGGGTACGTTCTTGGCTTTCCCTGGCATCCCAGTAGCCCACACTCCTAGATAGGCCTGATCAATAATTTCTTGAACTTCCGGTGCCAATTTATGTGTCTTTTCTGGATTCATCAGAGGCAGACTAAGCACCTCTATCAACCTTTGATCCCTCACCTTAGACTCCATTTTCCCTTTCCGCTTAAAAGTAATTTTTGCTCCCAATTGTTCTAATAAATCTTGCCCTAATAAGGATTGAGGGGAATTTGGCAAATAGAGAAACTGATGTATTCCATTCTATTTTCCCAATTTATAGGTAAGGGGGTTTGAAAAGAATGCCTTTTCCTGTTGGCCGGTGGCTCCCACTACATTTACAAAATTGTTGCTTATGGGTGCTAATTCTTGATTAAGGACAGAAAAGGAGGTACCTGTGTCGATTAGAAACTCTACCTCCTTTTCCTTCCCCCCTAGCTTAATGTTAACCAGGGGATCTGCTAAGGTAGATACCCCAGGTCCCTGTCAATCCGATGTACCCGTTCCTGCTACTAAAGCTGGTGGGGCAGAGGAACATTTAAGGCATTCGTTTTTCCAATGTCCTTCTTCCCAACAATGAGCACACCGATATCTTCCCAAAATCCATCCCCCACCTCATTCTCCCCGCATACCAAAGCCTCCATTTCCAAACTGCATTCCTCTTCCATCTCCTTTAAATCCCTCGTTAAATACTCCTCTTTGCTCTAAAGCTGCAATAGTAGCCTTAGCCATAACCTTAGTTAGTGTTCCCTTTTCTTTATCCTCCCGGTTCCTGAAAACCCTCCACGCTTCCTCTAAATTTTTTTCTAAGTCCCTTATGTTAGGTTCCTTTACTTCTGGAGCTTTTTCTTATATCAGTAGCTGATTGTCCCAAAACCAGAGACCAGCTGCTGTCGCCCCACATCAGATGAAGGGTCCAGAGTGGTACATTTTCTCATGGCTGTCCTTAACTGGTCCAAAAATTCTGTCGGAGTTTCTTTTGACCCTTGTTTGGCAGTGTAAAGTGCTGACTGTGGGGCAGGGTTTGGCTGCTCTCAGCAAAACCCCCAGCACTGCACAACTGGTAGAAGGAGAGGTCCTGGAACTTGTCGGCCACAGGCATTGGGAGGGATAAGAGAAGAACTTTGTTTAGAAGAAACAGAGTGCTGGCTCGATGTTTACACAAGAGTCATGGGTGGGTGAGGCTGTAAAAAACAATCACCCCGTAAAAGAGGAACTATTGTCTCTGTCCAAGATAGATTGTTGTAGATTAAGTGGGTGCTTAGAAAAATGCCTTTGGCATTAGCCAGTCTGTGAATGCATACTGTGGAATATAAACCGATCAGTCTTTGGCATGTTCTGAAGAAACCAAATAGTTTGTAACACCTCATCTAGGAACTAGTATAAATGTGAAGGATCATAATATGACTGACATTCTGCTTGCATCAAGCTGCTGTCCCGTCTCTCAGTCGCGGCAGCTGACCACTGAACAGCTTTTGGGATTGTATTGTCTGGCCCCAATTTAATCCAAACTCTCTATCTCCGTAACATTCTATAGTCATTTCTGTCATTTGGATCCCAGTGCAGGTCACCTACATTCCCTTGCAATGTTCCACCAGTAGTCTGAGCTTGCACATGGGTTCGAGCCGTTTTTAAAACTTTCTCTGTCTCAGTCATTTCTCCCAACATCAAATCCACATCTGACCAGTAAGAGTCTTGATTCTTGATTAGTATCTCCTTCCTACTCTCGCAGGATCATCTCAGTACCCTTTAACTATTCCTCTCCAGTTTTCTAAATCATTCGGGGAGGATGGGACCGTTACCTTTGCTGACCAATTTGCACCCATTACTTCCCTTAAGGCAGCAAGGAGTTGTGCCTCCTTTGGGGTTTTACTCCGGATGCGTGTCATAACTGGAGTGGGGGCAGAGGCACTAGTTCCCCCTTTTTCCTCCTCTCCACTGCTACTACCCCTGCCATTCTGGGTCAACAGGGATGATACTGGAGATAGTGGAGGAAAAGCAGGGGGAGGCAGGAAAGGCTGTACTAAATCCTCCTGTCAATCCTCCACCTCCCCCGGCTCGTCTGACAACTTTCAGCCATCACTGCCCAGTACTACATGCCGAACATCACCTCCTTAGCTTTGCTTGTTCCTGTGTCTCAGGTTTTTGTGCCTTTTCCAAGGACAAAACAAGAGAGTCCTGAGGTGCAATATTAATTCCACAATCCTTCTGCCACTCTGGGTGGCTTCACAGAGTGAAAAACATATCAGCATGCATCACTTCATCCCATTTCTTCTCCCTTCATAAGAACAACATTAATTGCAGGAGGGTATTATAATTTAAATTATAAATTAAAAGGCCATTTTTCCCAATCTTCCAGTTTATATAGGGGCCACCACTGATTACAATATTTAATTAGAGTTTTCTTATTTCCACTACCTCCCAGTGGTTCCTCTATTTCTTTCCCATGTGCCAGAATACACCCTAAGGGACTTTTCTTTAGAATGCTGCCGCTCTGATTTCTACCCATTTTATGAATCTAATGACCGATATAAATCGACTGGAAATAATAGTGGGGGGGATTTTAACACAAGCAGGGAGGATAGGATAAAGATTTAAAGCACTGGCACAAAACAACAAACAATTATATTTACTGTTATCTCCACCCGTTCCTAATTCAAGACACATGAAAGTTCGTATTACCAAACTTATAATCATTTCTCAGCTCACGTCCTTATATCCATATTCCAAATCCAAATACCAAAACCACAGCCAATACAGAATAAAACAACCACCAAATAACCAGAAGTGTATTCGGGTCTAGCTACCCGATACACCCAGCTCAGTGTGGGACATCTCCTCACAACTTATGGCTCTTTTGTCCAGAAGACTGGTCCCAATACCAGAAAACCAGAAAAAAAAAAAAAAAAAACAAAACAAACCACCAAACCTTATTGCTCAAGTAGTCCTTGTCTGCACCTGAAGCGATCTGGATGGGACGAGGAGTCCCTCCAAGAGAAATCTCCGGGGGTATCCCAGGGAGTCATCCTCTCAACGAGTCAAGCAGCCAGGCAGAGATTGTCCCATCTGGGTCGCCAAAATGAAGCCGAGAATTCAGTCTCAAAAGCCAAAATAGCTATTAAGCAGGTATTCTTTATTCCACTTGTCAGACGCCTAGGGGATCATTCCTCCTAATATGCGCACCACCGTAGTGGAGTTTATGATATTTATACACAATTCACTTACATGTTCATGTGATTTCTAAGAACTAATTACAATATCCATTACTTTTCCACACTGTCTTGACAGACAGGAATTTAGTCACCAAATGCGCACGCCAGTTAAAAATCATCACTTTCCATTATACAGATAAAGTTCCAAGAGAAGGACATAGAGGGTTACTGAGTCCTGGCTCACTTTCCTATGGGAGTGATCTTCTACAGGAACTCAAATAGTCAAGCTGCAGCTGCTTGCCTTACTACTGACACAGGGTAAAACAGGGAAATGAAACTAAGTCTTGGAAACAATGTGCAAGTTAAAGCCTCCCTAAGTTGGTTTTCTTCCCACCCCCCACCCCCCCACACAGAAAAATACACCATGGTGCAGCTGCAGCACATTTTGCTTGCGCATGTGATTTTCATTTTATTTTTTAATAATTAGTTAGCTGTTGGAGAATGGCTAAGGGAAAAGGGACATGGATCTAGAGATCCTCTTTGCGATGAGAGCCTCTTTTAAGTTAGCATGAGTAGGCCTCAGTCAGCAAGAGTGAACAACATGGGAAAGTACTGACTAAGGTCTTGAGATGAACATTCTCTATCTCGTCAAGGTTGGGAAACATTCCTTGTTCTTCTTTAATCAGTGGAGGATGGAGAAATGAGCATTCTTTGTTTCTCCTAAACTAACTTATCTGGGTTTTTCCCAGGGCTTGGGCCAACAAGCCCTGGCACGAGCTTGCTTGTATTTTATCCAATCAATGATTGACTAGTAGGCATAATTAGCAGAAGGATTATAAAAGGCTGTAATGAAAATCAATAAACTGAAGCACGCTTTATCACTCATACTGAGTCGGCTGCGTTCTTCCTCCTTAGCCTAGGTCCTCGGCTCGCCGTGCCCGGCAGTTAGCACATGATTAGAAGACACAAGTTTTTGATTACATTACTCGGAATGATCACTTTTAGTCTACTTCCTCTTTCCTACTAAAGCTCTCAAAACTTTATGCTACAAACTAGAACTCGAGGCATACTTACCCCTTTCTTTTGGATGGTGAAACTTTTACCAACGTTGTTATGCGCCAGTTCACTGTCCATCTCACTCATGTATGACTTGAGACTGCCTATAAGCTCATTAGGTGGCACCTTCTGGTCTTGCCTTTGATCTTCCACATCTAAGTCTTCATCACCCTCACTCGAGAAATCAAACTCTTCCTCTTCATCCAGATCATCAGAATCCAGCTCTTCTGAATCTGCCCCTACATATATATTATTTTGTGTCAGTACAGATAGCAAACAAATCAGCACAGCGACCATGGGTGACGGATGGATGACCCAGGAAAGCCAAATAACCATGAGATATTCTGACAAAAGAAACAAAGAAGCAAGCTCACCTAAAACTCTGTCTAACGCTTTTGTAAAAGAATCTACATCAAAGGTAACATGGGATTCAACAGGTGACCTGATATCTAAAAAAAAATTTAAATAAATAAAGCTTTTAGGCTTGCATAAGCTGACACAGACATAACCCATACGGCATACAGATTTCTCTCAAGCCTAGACTGAAGTTGGAACATTTGAACTGATGGTCTTGGAAGTGCTTAGAAGTCTGAGGACTGTATGAACTAGGAACGAAACAGCAACGGGAGGAGTTCCTGGCATGAAAGAGAAAATAAACCCAACAACTTTAACCATTTGTTGTGGTCAAATAAAAATTGCACCGAAGGGAACCAAAATAAACATGCCTGAATCTTTCTGGAACAAAGTGGTGGTGTTATATCTCATACAAAGATTTAAAAAGCTGAGAATCTTGGAGGTCTCCTGCCTAGAAAGAACACCGCAGGCTTCATTCTAGTCTCTTTTAAGGCTCAGCGGTTTGCCCTTTTTTTTGTTGTTTTTTTTTTTGTTCCTTTATTTTTTAAATAACTGAAAAAAGTCCACATTATAACTCAGACATTGACACTAACAGTAATTAAAAAGGATCAAACAATTAAGAGTATAAATTGAGTAGACCCTTATACGCTTGATACAGTCTACACAGCATTATTTTCTCAATATTAAAGCTATTAAAAAGAACTTGGACAATATGCTCCTACCTCACCCTTCGGTTTTTAAAATTAAAGGCCTGTCCACACCACAGTCACACACACTTTCTTAACTCCAGCACTTAATCTAGCGGCATTCTGCTGTTGCCTAACTAGTTAGGTATCTTCAGTTAGCACTCCCACTGTTGGGAACAATGACAGGGATCCACCGTGATTCGATTCTTTGCTCCTGCTTCTAGGTGTACAGTATGTGCTTTAGGTGTGGAAAAGCAGGCCTAGTATATTCAAAATACTAATCTACAGGAAATCTAAATTCAACTGTACCACAAAAATCAATAGTCTTAATTCACAGGTTGCCCCAACTTAAGTTTCATTTTTATTTCTTCACAGCTTCATCAGTAGAATCTTAGTCTGAACAGTCCTTCATGGCAGAAAAATTTCAGCACAAATGAACTTGAGATATGCATTTTAATAACAGTGCTAAGAGCTATCGTAATGAATAACACCAAGCCTTCAATTTAAAAGGGTTAAAAAAATTTTAAAAACCACAAAACCAAACTAAGTAAGAGTGCTGGAAAATAACACAGCTTCCAGCACTTTTACCTGCACCACTGACAGAGTGGTGACCAAACTGGTTTAAAAGCAACTACATATTCACTGGTAACAGGGGTTTGTTTCAGGCCTCTGCTACGCAGAACGCTTTCAAACGTTGATTCTGTGCATTACAGAATCAACCAAAGGGCTACAGCAGAATGAAAACACATTCTACACCACACACCAAACTTAAAAATACTACTACTGTGGCATTTCTGCTCCTTCATGTGGTGAGACTTTGGATACAAAAGCCTTCGTACTTTCAGCAACTGCTTCCAAGTCGTATTTCTGCTCTTCCTCATTTGAGGAAGGAAGGGACTCATTCCTTGCCTCCTTCAGCATCTGATCTAGATCACCTGCTGTAATCTCCAGCCAACTGTCATCTGAAAGAATATAGGACATATTTGTTATTCGGCACAAATCTGTCAGCCCACAATGGCCACAAAACCCAATCCAGATGGCTGAGAGTACTGCTAGCATTTTGTAGCTTGTTTTTGCACTGTTAAGTTTTCGTGCTGATACAAAATAACACAGGGTATAAGGCAGAGAGAGGCTGAGAAGAGTGTTCTGATTTCATTTGACTACTTTGTAAACTCTGCTTTACATGCAGCTTCAAACTAGCAGAAATTGTTGTAGCCACAGGTAAACCTTCTGCCACTAAATGAAGGAAGAAAAGGCTTACACTATAAAGGGAGACCATCCACTACAATCATTAATGCTGAATGTTGGATTTGCATGCTAAGGGATCATTCAGAAATACAGATGTGACCTGTGCTGCATGCTGGCAACAACTGCATTCCTGTGACATGAGTGAAAAGAACCTATTATATGAAGTTTATGCTGGTCTTGTATTGGCCATCAGAGTAGACCAGATAGTAATTAACTTTGTATTGCCAGTACTGGAACTGATTTATTATTATTCTTAAATGTTTAAATACCTCCTGTCTGGTCTCCAGTTGACACAGAGCACTTGATCTGGTATAAGTGTGCATGGTGTTATCAATCTAGTGGTATCAAACCAGAAACTGGACTGCGTATTTCGCCAATTCACAGCCCCGAGCTTATACAAACGAACTGGTTGCCTTAATCTTAAATGATGGCCCATGAATAACACCTCCAGCAGTCACATGATAGGAGACTAAATCAATAAAGAGACTGGTGCAGTGCTGTGAACATTCACCCTCTTCCCCAACAAATACTCATTTGTGATAGGAATAGTCCACCCCCCATCCGGCTCACCATCCTCTGGAGGAAGACAAGCTGCTTCTCTCTCAAATTCCTTCAAATCAACAGTTGTTGTCTGTAGCACTGTCAAGATTTCATCACCTGGGCTCACTTCAAAAGAGCTAGAAGAAAAAAATGCCATTTACTGAAATGGATTTTTACTAGCATTACAATACCAGTGGCATCACAGACACTACACGAAAGTTTTCACTCCAATTCCTCACGATTCCTTCTGTGCAAAGACATCAAAAAGGTAAGTGAATCTGGGGGAAGTACCAGAATACTACACCAATAGTATTAGCCAAACCATGACACAGTCAGTTACTGTTATTCCTTGTTGATGGCTCCAAAGCAAATTTCTCATGCTTCTTTTGTTATTTATATTTATTTTGTCTTGGTAAACATTACGACTGCCAGATCCCAAACAGCACAAGACTGGAAACTCAAGCAACTAACAGTCAAGATATTATGAGTTGGCAAACCCTCAGATATTTTTGTAATGATTTATTTTTTGGATTTGATCTTTTGGAGAAATCTACAGCCAGCTGCCTCTCGTAAGTAAAGGAGATAGATTAATCCATATTTCTTATTCACTAAGACTGATTTTCAATTAAGCTTTTAAACACTTTCTACAACCAACCAGCCAAATGATGCTTTTCAGTCACCTCTTAACCCACTTGGAATAGCTTAGCATTTTACAAAACCAAGATAAATAGTTACTCAAGCAGTAACTTCTACTAGTAGAGTATTCTAGAGGAATTAATACCCCTATGTCTTAGCCACAGCACCTATGTTAAGTGTACAGTGGAGAAAAGGGTTCAGGTTTTTTGTAACAAGTATTAAAAAAGGTAAATTGAAGTACTTGCAGGTACTGTGTATGGTTACTCATGAATTTCAAGGATCTCTTACCTTTCTGGCTTGGTAACAGACTGTTGGAAGTAATCTTCTGCCCTGTGCAGCACTTCCAAGTATTTAGCAGATCCTTCCATTTCTCCTTATTTAATGCAAGCCACAAGTATGAATCTAAAGAATTCTCCCTCCCCTTCCTTTCCACAGACATGCTTTGTAACAATGACTATTTGTCAGACAGAAATTTAGTTCTGAGAAAAATCCAAACAAGTAATACTGCTGTGCCACATATGCTTGGAACAGAATATAGGAAAGGGGCATAAGGTGTTTTCACTGTTAAATATGAGTTGAAGTCTTGTGCTACAATATCATATGGTGTACACTAAAAACAATCGAAGAAATTACTGATCCTTACAACACGGTGTATTTACCATGCCCAAGTTACAATTGTGCAAGGATTGTGAATGAATCTCTTGGTTTTGGGGAACTACCCATACGAGTGGCATTGCAGTACTGTAAGCATATTCCCCTTCTCTTATATTTACAAGATATTAACCTAAGCATTCCCAGTTGTCCGATTCTATAACCTTCAAATAAGTAGTCAATTTATGACCAATTTGTAAACTTTAAATAAGCAGTCAAAGGCATCTTTTAAAACAAAACAAAAAACCCCACACAAACAAAAAATACACTTACATGGCCCCAAATGTATCGATGGGTGTTAAGTATAGATCTTAAAGAATATTTAATTCTAAATGCATGCAAATGAAATCTAAAACAGTTAAAACAGTTATACTGACACACAGCCACACTGTGGTTTCCTTTATTCGAGTGTATTTCCACTTTCTTTAGATGAATCCTGCCTTTTCCTTTTTAATTTCCAAAAGAAATTAACTCATTTCAAAGGGGAACAAACTGCACAGATCTCCTGGAGAGACATCCATTAATTTCCCACAGACAGAAGCAACAGATTTCTTGCCCTGCTGTAACTACTTACACAAGTTCAAGAGCTACAACATGTTTTTCCTGGCATGTTTAAAAGACAAACACACACACACACAACTACACCTTGAAATAATTCTTTTCCTTCAGGTTGCTGAGGAATCTCGCCCACAGGGGACCGCTTAACACATTTCTCTTGGAATCAGGAGATACTTTACTGCACTTGGAGCACAAAATTTCAAAGCCATGGGCCGGTATAAGAGATGCAACAACATGAGACTCTCCAGATGTGCCAAATTTAAGTGCACCTTTAAATGACCGCGTAAAGAACTGACTGCCATCGAGCTCCTGATACTGCCACTTGAGAAGTAGATGCCAAACCCAATTATATATCAGGGAGCAGTATCTTGCTTTGGAAGTTGAAATCTGTCCTTCTGCAGCAATAATGGTTCATTCTGACTTCGCAAAGTTTCTCTACATGGGAAAAGCAACCTAGAAGACAGGTCTGTAGTGCACAAGCTACTCCTCATACAAGCATGAAGGCTTGACCTGTACTTGTAAGCTATATAAGTACAAGAGTGCTCTAGCCTGTAAAAGAAAGCTCCCACAATAATGTACTTCCAGAAAAATGGTAACTGAATTTGCTCGCATTATTCTGTACAAGCAGGCAACTTACAAGCAGAGTAATTTCTTGGACATAGGTAAACAAGCAAACTAAAGACTAAGTACAAAATGCATAAAAAGTAATTACCAGCTTCATGCCCAGTTCATAGGCTTTGTATTGAGGGTGAGATGGGAGGGGCAGCGTGTATCCACTGCATCTATCCAGAACAAACTTCTGCTGCACCAACTGTGCATATAAACACACTGTGAAGTAACCTGAAAAAGCCCCAGCAAAAGAAAATAACTTACTGCAGTGTGACTGTGCTGTGTACAGGCATCAACTTTCCACCAGCTTTCTCTGAATTTTGTTTTAAATCACCCATATACCTGAGATTGTAATCAAAATACATCTTCGATACGTTTGCTTAAGATATGTTGCTTTTCAGATCTAATGAAGTATATTCCAAGTTGACATCTCTAAATAAACACGAACTTCATTCACTTTAAAGACATTTGAAAAGATCCTCAGTATTCAGGCCAACGTGGTATATTTTCAAAAATGTAAGGGCTCTTTTCAATTAACAAAACCAAAGCCGAGATTTCAAAAACAGTCAAGAAATCTACAATTTGACTCCCAAATTTATTTTCAGGAGCCTAGCGGTATAACTCTGTTATGCAAACATATCCAATACAACACTGCTTGGACAAGGAACATAAACCACTTCCTAAAGTAGCTTTCACAGAGCTGCGTAAGCATGGCTGAGAAGGGGAAAAGCCTTGGAATGAACACCTAGGGGTAGTTAGGAGCAACTCCTGGTGTTGGCTGGCAGTGCTGTCAGACTGCTCTGATCACGGAACTGGATGAATTTCCTTAGCGAGCATTCCAGCAGAGGAGCTACTAACAGTAACCTCTGATTTCAGAAGCACTTCTGATTAGCCATTTGAAAGCCTAGCTATGCCAATCTGAAGGCAGAAAAGCTATTTAACATAAAGAACGGGAAATGCATGTCTAGTGTCAAAATTAAAAAATAAATCAGAAAACATTCTATTTTAACAATTAAATCCACATAGTTGTATCACTTGACCACAGAACCTTCGTCACTTACAGAACCTAATTCAGTGACAAGTTTCATCAGAAGGATCACTTACTATGGTCACCACACGCTCGTCTGGAGGGAAAGTCTGAAAAGAGCCACACGCTCGTAAATCCACAGGCTCTCGCAGGTGAAAGGCCTGGCCTGCTGCAGCCACCAACGAAGGGCACTGCCTCAGCACTGCCACAATGCCTGCTGGAAGGTAGCAGTGGGCTCGGTGAAATGAGGCCTGAATTTTCTCAGGATACCTGCATTGTACAATAACAACATAGTGTAGTAAGTGCATCGCAAGCTGAAACCACTCTTTAAGCTAATATTCCCATTTTCACTTTAATACTAATCTGTATTATGGGCCAAATGCCAGATGATTATTCTAAACTAAAGTTAAAACTCCGCTAATCTAACACCTGGCATGTCTGTTTATACAGAACTATACATGGCTAATAAAAATTTCATCCCCACATTGGTAAAATGAATCACTGTGAACTTGACTAACATGTCCTACTACACAGCATCCTTCACTGCACCGGGTGTAGAAGTCATCTGGCTCGTGCTGTCAAATCCTTGCAAAAAATAACTTGTGGTGCTGAATAGACCTGTGGGAAGCTATCGCTCTGAAAAGCGTGATGGTTCTACGCTTTAGTTTGCAATCCTTTTTCTCCCTCCTCAAAGGGCTCCTAAAGGCCCACAGAACTTCCAGACTTTTCAGTACAAGAAGGATGTGAAGGCAGAATAACTTGTCCTTGTCAGGTGTGGCATCACAGCAGTGAACCAGTTCCAGAGCCCCCAGATCACAGCACAGCCCACAGGGCACTGGTCCCCCTCTTCAGAAGAAGACCACAGAAAAAACACTAGTTTCTGAAAAGGAAGCCACTTTATCACACCTAACAGGAAAACGACTGGATACAAGAAAGCACCCCAGACAGCCCAGAATCAAAACTCACTGTTGCACAAGACCAAAGTGAAACACCCACATACCCACTGATGCGCTTCTACACTGCTGTTGGGATGGGCTCTGCAGCCAGGAACTCCTCTGAACAGGTGGACAACAGCGTCACCGCCTGCGAGACTGTCAGAGTGGTGGCAGATAGGTCACATTCCTGCTCCTGGGTCTCTGACAGCGGGATGAGGTGCAGCTCTCCTTTGTAAAAGAACACCTGGCAGGTAGCAACACTCTCATCAGACAGGATCAGAACAGTCACACACTAGGCAGCCGAAAATTTAATTTAATATACAAATGCACATGTTTAAACATAGAGAATACCGAACAACAAATAGAGAAATAATACAGAAAACAGCACATTTTTTTTTTAAATGGGAGATGAGGTAAATACAGATGCCACAGACCATGATCCAACCAGTAAATAAAAAACCTCCCTATTTTAACTGCAACACGTTTGGTCCAATGTATTTGGTTTTCTTAATAACACTAATAGCAAACATTTCTCTTCAACTAGAGATTTGCTTCAGGAGAATCAGCATAATTTAACTGCTGAAGAACAGGACAGGAACTGAAAAGCATTGTTTCAGGTGCTACACATGACCTCTGGTGGTTCCCCATCCTAAGAACTGAATGTAACACTATCGACTTCCTCACTCCATCTGTTCCCTCAATTGGAAGGAAAATACAGCCCTGATAGTCAAGATACAGGTTTGCAATTAATTCCTGTGTTGTGTTACACCCCTTTTCTTTTAAGAGCCTTGTGGGGAAAAAAAAAAAAATAAACAAATCTTTGGTAATGAACAAGTAAGTTCCTTTCATTTAAATCCATTGCCAAGAAACTCTGGGACTAGCAATCACCCACAGCAAGCTGATGTGGCTGCAGAATGAAAGTCTACTGCAGACAAGACTAGTTGCACACGTGTACACCAGTGTTACAGTCAACCAATGAACCTTACTTCTTTCAACTTTACCAGCAGAGATTTAGGTTTTTTACCTCATGGCACACACAAGCTCTAGTCTAGTCAGGTGAAAGGGAGTTTGTTCAGAGACTACAGGAGAGAAAAAGTTAACTTTTGTGCCCCGGAACAGCTTTTTTTTTAAGCACTCCCTGTTAACTTAACTTTGTTTTGATGCCAAGTATCACCTCCACCTGGAAAGGGTGGCACAGAGAGCAGGGGTTAGGTGCACGTTCTGAAAACTAGCTCCGTCAAGACAAATGACGCTGGATTCATTTCATCGCAGTGGTTTGGGACTCCTTGTAGAGTTGTCAGCATTCCCCACATAAAAATACACTAACAAGATAGGAGTGAAGCTGCAAAAGTTAATGGAAGCTGCAAGGGTTAAGGTAGCAAGTACCTGGGTGACTGTCAGAGGACAGGAGGGGTCTTTTAGCTTGTTGAGTAGCTGAGCGGCCTCCTACCACTTACAAGTGGTACAAGAGGCAACTGAAAGGCACTAAACTGAAGTAACTGGTTTTTAAGCAAGACAGGAATGGTTCCTACTGAAACCTGCTCCCTCCCCCACCCCCAAAAATCCAACCCCAGTATCTTTAAATGCAAGCTGAGTTTTGACTGATGTATTAACAAAAAAAATATTGAATTCAGCAGAAGAACTTCGTAGACTTGAACACTTCATGAAATATCAAGGAATACAGTAGTTGCCTGCAATGCAGCAACTGTGAAAGCATAAAATTTGTCCCTTTTGGATGGCCAGGCACTTGTCTCAAACTTGCCGAAGTCATACGTAACACAGTTGTTATTAGAATAAAAAAAAAAAAAAACACCAACAAAGAAAAGCATTTTAGTTTTAAGCTAAAGGAGATGTATTTGGTACTTAGTTTTAATACCTTTCAAAAGTCCTGAAGTTGTACATGATCTCTGTTTATTAGGTCTTCAGCTGCATGGTTCTCTGAAAGCCCACAGTCGAGGTGGATCAGTCACAAAAAGCAAACAGGGGTTCTAAACGTGCCATGAAGAAGTGTCCATCCATGGCCAGAGTCATGCACCAGCTCTCATTCTCAGCAATGTCAACATTGTTTACAGCAGAGTCTTCAAACACCCATCCTTATGAATAGTTATGTTTTTATCAATCTAAGAAGCAGTTGCCAAAGACTAGAAGGGGTATATTTAAAACATTCCATTTGCCACCAGTAGAAGTAGTTATACTCCAGTGGAAGGGTAAATGCACTCCAGTGGGCAGTAAAGCCTAACTCCTACAAAATCCAAACAACACACTCTGCCACTGTTGTTTTCCCATTACTGGCTTATGACCTGTTCATCTTGTTACAGGCAAGTACTGCAGAATCTGCCAATTTTTCTGTTAGCTCTACAGAAGATGAAAGATTTTCTGTAACAGCAGTAATTTCAATGTTAAAAGCTGTATTTATATGTTTAAAGCAACATTATACTATCAAAAGCAAGCACTACACGTCGCTGCTTCTACAACTCAACTTAGACAAGTTATGAATCCTGTAATAACTGCAGCAGATATCAACGCAGTTGTATAAAAATAAGGTAGCAAGCCAGCTGAGCAGAACTGATGACTTTAAGGGTAGCACACTAGTGACTCTTCCTGTGTTACATACTTAGACCTCTTCCTCACTGACTGAAGGTGGAAGAGGCAGAAGGGACTCTTACTGCAAGTAGTTCCAGACAGTATTCAAAGAAAGTACATTGTCTTCCTGGCGGGATATTTCATGGTAATTTTGCAAAATAGGTCAGTCTCCCTTTCTAAAAATGCCTGCAATTACCCAAGATTTCTGCACTCTGCCATGAGGCTCCAAACCCACAGATGCAACGACGTTGTTAGTAGATGGGTTCTGCACTGGGACAGATGTATCAGTGGTATTTGCTGCAGTTGTCCTTGTGGCTCCAAATTAGACAAAAACATGAAATACATGCTTCTAAGTGATTAGCTGAAGGTCTTACTCCCAAACAGTAAACTCCAGATGACAAATAAGCGTACAGACGAGGTGAGGATAACCACTTAATATATTTCAACAAAATTAGGACGCTGCATGAAAACAGTTTTTCCTTTAAAAAGTTGTCCAATTAAAAAGCACTTTCTTTTTAAATTTCCCTTATTAATGTTTTCTAAATTACAATTCATAATGAAAAAAACTACTCAGTATTCTTTAGAAAGTAGCTCCTACTATCCCACTCTGTTATGTAAGCTATCAGATGTTAGTGGTACCTACAGAACAGCTAATAATTTTTAATCAATATTGAAGTTATTGAGTCCGGTTGATCCAAGCATGCTTTACTCAAAAAGAAGGGAAAAGAAAGCAAAGCAGAACTGGGCAAATGTAACAAAGTTAGCTTTCCTTTGCATTTCTAGAGGGGTGAAAAAAAAAAAAAAAAAAGCTCTGGTCTCAGTTGAAATATCTTGGGTTTGCATAGAGGCAAATTGATGCTAAAGAGAGGCCTCTGTTCACTAAACCCTTTCAAAATACAATTTCTTTTAACAGCTGACACTACTGGAACATTGTACAGTGTGGCATTTAGTTACATCAAGCTCACTGGAGATAAGCATCCCCTTTATATCGGTGCCATTCCTCAGGGAGCAAGTTAGTTTTCTGTAGCCCTAGTGCACAAGAGTTACAAAAATATATAAATAAACTTGAACAGACTTCTAGTAATATAATGTAGTATTTTATAGCTAAGAGGAGTCAGTGTGTTAAAAAAGTGAAAGCAGTCTCATCATAAGGTAATTTTTGGTTTCTGTACAAATGGTTGACACGAGACTTCTGGGCTGGTAGGTATCTATTTTGTACAGTAAAAGTAACGTTCAGGTCCATGTGTTGTGCAACATAGAGATATGCTGTACTCTCAGAATCAGGATAATTTTTGAAAGAAGCCGCGTAAAGGAATAGTTACCATCTACCTCTAGCTTCCCCCTGGGAAGCTCTATTAAATAGCCAGCTCCTGAATGCTATCACTGAAGCAGTGAGGACTTTCAGCTCAAATGGAAGTGTTCCCCTTGTCGCTCATAAGCCTCTGAAAAATGATCCACAAAATAAAGCCAGCCTCATCCCTTTGAGACAGAGTTGAAAACTAGTTAATTACCCTTCAAATTCATACCCCCACACACTGTCAGGGGTTTTTTAAACCAGCTGAAGCATAAACCTTTCAAGTATTTGCAGATCCTACTTAAGGAATTCACTTCTGAAATAACAGAAGGGTTGACAAATATAGTGAAGTAGCTAATCGCTACCACCCTACAGCAGACTTGACTGTGATGCTATTGAAATAACAAGCAATGCATTTCTGAGCTTTGGAACTCCTTGTCACGGGACATCACAAACCCTAGAAATGCACAGAACTGACTCTCTCCTGTGGATTTTTCAGCTATTGCCTCACCTCAGTGTGTCAGAGGATTCCTACAGTGACATACATGCTGCAGTCTTCTTCCTAAGGCATCTGCCACAGGCAATCCAAGGCCAAACACGAGCTGGCCCTTTCATGGAACATGGCATCACCAGCACTGACATCGCAGTTAACAATGCAGCCATAGTTACAGCTGCTATACAAGTGTGCAGTATTTACTTGACTTAAATCAGTCAGAAGAGTTTTGAACAGCTACATAGAAAATGTAGAGAGGGCTGGGGAAGCAACTTAGCACAGAATTCTATGAAAACTTTTCCTCTATTAAATCTGCAATATTCCAAAGTATCTTCAGAAAACCACTGAAAATACCTGTTGAGCTGAAGTTCAAAGACTTTTAAAAAACAGCAGAAGGTTTGTTACGTAAGAAAAGTGTGACTAGCAAAAAGATAAGGTTTTCAACTCGGAAACCACAGGAATCGCCACTGAAGACTCTCAAAGGTGAGGGGTTACACCGTTTTACCATCAACTGTACCAATATCCATTCGGTGTTTGGAAGGAAGCTGCTTCCAAAGAAGTTTAATAAATGCACCATGGTCCCAAACCTCACACCGCTTCCTTACTGTAACAACTTTTACTCAGGAATCTGTTTGATCTTAACCGAAGAGCACCCAAAGGATTTTTAAAGAGCAGCACCAGAATGCTTTGTCTTGTTCATGATGCATTCTGTATCATACCTCCCAGTCACAGCAAACTGATGCATACACTCTGAAACAGTAGCCCAGAAAAACTCTGAAATTCTCCCAAATCCACGTGATCCCATACAAAATGATACCTGCTATCTCAGCCTACACAGTTCTTTATTTCTTTCCTTTCTTGGCTGCAGTCATCTTTTCTCCTTTTTTAGCATTTCTCCCGTATTTTGCTTACAGTTGGGCCAAAAAGTCATCCATTTCCTTTTTTCGATCTTTATTTCTGCTCTGGGGGAAAGGAAATTAAAAAAAAAAAACCCGACCCAAAACTTTTACTACTTCCTAGTACAGATTATTCTATTGAAGTTGATAGTATGACAGCTACATAAAATACTGGAATATATTAAACAGGGAATGCAAGCAATATAATACAATACAAATATAATACAATACAAAGTATAGTACTATCAAGCAAAATTCTACTTGTGTACTCTAGGCTCTATACCTAATTTCTCCTGAAGTATCGAGACGGACGTAAAGTGGCTATAAAAATTCCCAACATAAGCCTAGGAAAAGCAAAACAATTTCTAAGTTTAGACCCAAAACTCTTCTACAGTTTGGGGAATGATTAAGCACGAATGTTCTAGGAAGCCCACTGGATGATGAGAAACAGAAAACATTCCAAAAAGCAGAATGTAAACAGTATGTTTCTTTCCTTGGTCCTCAAGATACAAAACAGTAAGACCTATCAGCTTCTACATCCTGATGGAATCCCTCAGAGAAAGAATCATTAATACTCCCTGTATAACTAGCTAAAACTAGAAGTTAAATATTTTGATTGTGTATGCCATAAGGATATTTGAATAACTTTGTTAATTTTCAAAAGACGCAGGCAGTAAAATCCATACCACACTGACTATTAAGTAAAGTACATAGGTAGCTAACATTGAGGTCAGGTTTTAACCTCAGAACTCTCAAGTTGCAAGGATCCAAACTACAAAGAGGCTCAGGGAGAACAGAATTATAGGCCAGTATACTTCTCTTCAGCAGATAGAAAAAGCCTTACTTGAATCAGCGCTTTCAAATCATCTTCTCCATCAAGGCCCAGTTCAGCTTTAGTCTCTTCTGCCTCTCTAGCTTCTTTTTCTGCCTAAAATAGCAAACTAGTTTTTTAACAAGTAGTTTGCAAGTTATTTGACAAAGTCTTATAATAGTTATCAAACTTTTTTTTTTTTTTTTTTTTTTTTTTTTTAAATCTGTATACAACTAGCTGCAAGGAAACACAAATTGTTTCCAAATTTGGCCACAGATGACAAACTGGTGAAAGAAAGACCATTCTGGCTTTAGTAGAGCGGGACAGTTTTTTGTTGTTTCACAATGCTGAATGTGATGTCTCTGCCTATCCCTGTTCCCCCCACCCACACTTTTTTTGTCTTGGCAGCTATTACATTTTCTTTAACTTAGAGAACGGTTACTGCGATGTGCATGTAAGATCTACAAAGTGTTCAAAAAACCCCACGTTGAAGAAGAGGTCCATTTAGTCCAGCATGTTATTTCACACTCGCCAGAAGGCAAGCACAACATATTTCTACCACGTACACTGAACTCTAGCAACTGATAGCTGTGTAAATAAATGCAGGGACATGCTATACTGTAATAAGCCATTGTGTATAATAATAAAATAAAGAATTAATAATAAAACAAAGGAATAAAGATTGGCAGCAGCCTATCACAGCTCAAAAGCCTTTCACAACAATTTTTTTTGGGGGGGGAAGGGTGGAGAACACAGGTGCACAAATGTGAAAGTCAAAGACACAGAGCAAGATCTGTAACCCAGAAATCCTGTAGCAAACATTTGCCTCAAGAACAGTTCCATTTTATTTCTAACAAGGAAGATTAAAAGCTTAGCATAAAAAATATGCTTTCCTTTGGTCCCGGATTGATATAACCTACCCGCCTTTTTCTCACAATCATTTTCTGCTTCGACTCTCTTACAAAACCTTTGTAGAATGGGACTTCTCCAGAGGCAATCGCTTTTTCTACGATTATCCATGTTCTTGGTTCATCTGTATAGTCCACGCACAACACAGACTCCATTATTCTGTCCAGGTCACCCTCAAAATCCACGTACGCTGCTTTAATAACAGCTAGCTCTTTGTCCAAATCTTTCTAGCTCTTTTCAAAGTCTTCAATATCTTTCACTGGGATCTGAAGCAAAGAAGTGACACTTCTGGAGTTACATGATTTATTCACCAGATGGATTTCAGAGACAGCGTTAAAAAAAAAAAAAAAACAAACAAACCAAACCAAACCAAACCAAAAAGAGAAGCCACGTGCTTTACCCGCAGCTCGCCAGGGAGGCACGGCCACAGGCCCGAAGCAGGGAGCTCCCCACTTCCCGCAGGGCCTGCCCCTGCCCAGGCGAGCCCTGCGGGGCCCCGGCCCAGCTCTCACCTTCCTGAAGAGCAGCCGCCAGTACTCCCGCCAGTCCCGCTCGCCCCTCAGCACCTCGCCCTCCTCGCCCACCGTGCCCTGCTCACCGTACAGGGCGCGCTGCTCCGCCTCGCTGAGGGCGGCGTAGGCCTTGCCCAGGATCTGAGACAACTGAGCCTTTTTTGGCTAGCCTCAGCTGTATGGTGCTGCAGACATTTCACTCTTCCCATTATGCGGTGCAGCTTTTCAGTCCACAAACATTTTAATGCAAGAAGTTTTTAAGAACAGCCAAACCTCTTCAAGACTTTTCCTTCCTGACAAGAACATGCCCACGGTTTAGACCAATGAGCTTTGATAACACCACACACTATTTCTAGTGCCATATAAAATTATTCACCGCATTTCTGTTCTCTTGCACAGCCATCCTTTGCTATTCAGAAAAGATTCTGAACACTACGGAAGAAAGTCCCATTAAACCTTTATCATTTGAGGTGTTCAGTTACGATCGCCTAACAAAGGAGGAGTTACTTTTGCACATTGCCCGTTTCCCCCTTTATTCTTTAGTGAACTTAAACCTACACACAACGGCGCGTCCGTCTCTTCAGCGAGCATGGAATCACAACGTTCCCACCTGCCCGACGGAAAACCTGGCACAGCCCCGGCAGGTACGTATTCAATGCAGCCAGTGGAGGCAGGCGGCAGGCACAGACAGGCAAAGCCAGACTTCTGCTAATAAACGTGGGTTTTTTCCTTTTACAAAAGGCACTTCATTAAATACAGGCCACTCCTGCGGGAGCCCGGCAGCCGCACCGCTGCTCTTCCTTCCCCCAAAAGTTGCCCCCTTGGACGCGGGCGCACGGCCCTGCACAGGCACCTCCGGGGGAGCCCGGCACCTCTCCCCTTTTGGGGGGACACGGGGCACCTCTCCCGTTTTGGGGGGGGCTGAACACAGGGGCACCTCTCCCATTTTGGGGGGGGGATGAACACGGGGGCACCTCTCCCATTTGGGGGGAGGTGGATGAACACAGCACCTCCTCTCCCGTTTGGGGGGGGGGATGAACACGGCACCTCCTCTCCCGTTTGGGGGGGGGGATGAACACGGCACCTCCCCTCCCGTTTTGGGGAGGGAATGAACACAGTAGCTCCTCTCCCGTTTTTTTTATTTTTTTTTGGGGGGGGGGGTGGGGTGTGGGGATAAACACAGCACCTCCTCTCCCGTTTTGGGGGGGGGGATGAACACGGCACCTCCTCTCCCGTTTTTGGGGGGGGGGATGAACACAGCACCTCCTCTCCCGTTTTGGGGGGGGGGATGAACACGGCACCTCCCCTCCCGTTTTGGGGGGGATGAACACAGCACCTCCTCTCCCGTTTTGGGGGGGGGGATGAACACGGCACCTCCTCTCCCGTTTTGGGGGGGGGGGGATGAACACGGCACCTCCCCTCCCGTTTTTTTTTTGGGGGGGGGATGAACACGGCACCTCCTCTCCCGTTTGGGGGGGGGGATGCACATGGCACCTCCCCTCCCGTTTTGGGGGGGGAATGAACACAGTAGCTCCTCTCCCGTTTTTTTTTTTTTTTTTTTGGGGGGGGGGGGTGGGGTGTGGGGATAAACACAGCACCTCCTGTCCCGTTTTGGGGGGGATGCACACGGCACCCCCTCTCCCGTTTTTTTTTTGGGGGGGGGGGATGCACACGGCACCTCCTCTCCCGTTTTTGGGGGGGGGGGGATGAACACGGCACCTCCCCTCCCGTTTTGGGGGGGGGGATGAACACAGCACCTCCTCTCCCGTTTGGGGGGGGGGGGATGCACACGGCACCCCCTCTCCCGTTTTGGGGGGGATGAACACAGCACCTCCTCTCCCGTTTTAGGAGGGGGATGCACACGGCACCTCCTCTTCCGTTTGGGGGGAGGGATGAACACAGCACC